TGTAAAATTCTCAGTAATAGCACGGAGTCTGGAATAGTGCCCGGATTATTGCAATTGGCTCACCCATGTTATGAGACCCATGTAATAGGTACATGGGTCTCATAACATAACATAAGTTAATAGTGAAAAGTGGGTGTTACATTGTACAGTGGCATTAAGTGCCGTATAGTGTACCTCTACCTACTCCTTCGTGGATAAAAGGTGTGATATTATGTTATGTCTGACCTTTGGGTGATGAAGAGAAGAGTAAATGGTAGGAGTATAGTTTGCTTTCTATACCTACGCCTGTCGCGGAGAACCTAACGGGTAACCGGGGCTCCGGCTCGACGAGCAGGAGAAGAAACGGGGTGGTTTTTAGTCAGTAAGAGGCTGACACTCTCTCCCGCCTCACCCAGGCGGGAGCAGTCATTCGATGATTTTCCCCCCTTAAAAAAATAAAATAATACCTACGCCTACCTCTCTTACCTAGTACCTTCTTATTTAGTTTTCATCACATTCATGCTAAATTGTAAAATACCTATGTACAAAATAAAAAAAAACTACAAAGAGACGAGTGGAAGAGGAGTTGGCAGGCCTTTGCCCGGTAGCGGGACGACCAAGGCTGACAAAAAAAACTACAAAATGTTGAGCGCCTCGATGTCAATATGGCGACCGTAACTAATATAAATAAAACATTTAGTATTATTTATTGTAACTGTTAACGTAGAATGATGTATTTGCATAAAAACAATTCACTAGTTACCCATAATAAATTAATAGATTCCTACTTCACAGTTTTGTGTTGGAATATCTAATTATTTTGATGTGTTTAATCGTTTGAATAAATAGAGTAGGTACCGTAATGATCGATTCGCAAAAATAATTAAAAATATTTAAAAATACGATCTTCCCAACGCGGCTTCACCTACTGAATGAATCTAATACTTTGTTCGCATTGTGCTAGTATTTTGGTCGAGCATCGAGTGTTTAGTACATCCTTCTCGCTCCTGTCGCAAAATCGAATCGAGATAGAGTTACTAAATATTCGCTACTTGACTAAAATACTAGCATAGTGCGAACAAGGCATCACTGATCGTAGTGTGATGTTTTACGGCATAATTAATAGTAAGTATTCCTTGAAACGAATTATTCAACAAAGTAAACGCACTAGTAGTTTCGGAGATACTCCAAGCTTGTCAGGCAGGTTGGACTTTGGAGATCGTAGTATCAAAGGTCCGGCTTTATTCCACAGACCTACTGTCCGGTCTTCGTCAAATTGTCCTTCAGTTGGATCTTACTATACCGTTCGCAGAAGGAGTAGGGGTGTCGACGTTTTATTCTGCCGTCACCATAAGCTTTAAAGTGTAGGAGAGCCATGCTTCGGCACGAATGGGCCGGCTCGACCCCGGAGTGATACCACGGCCTCACAGAAGACGTGTGAGTGAGGTTACTGGAGGCGTAATTAACCGCTGCCCCTCCCCAATCCCTGAATCACCAACAATCCTCAAATTTCTAATCCCAAAAGGCCGGTAACCCAGGTGTCCATGGGCGACGCCACAAGTACTTAATTATTACTTTGGGATTTAGTTAAACAGATCTAGGCCAATGTCATTTATGTCTAGACGACTAGAACTAGAAGTCTATCAAACTATCTGAGTAAACTAAGTTGGCTAAGCAATTTGTTGATTAGGTACCTACTATGATTAGAAGCAGACGCACCACTGATGAGCGCGCTGACGGTTTTTTTGCTAATAAAAAGTGTAAATTTCCTTTGTTTACTAGCTTCACTGACAGACAGACTGACGGACAATTCAATACCTATATATACCTATACCTTTTGTGAGACATACTTAATTAATTATTTAAACTCGACTAGTTTCAAGCCACGCTACAGGCTCATATTTATGAGCAGTAATCCGCGACCCGCGAGGCCGCGACACGGAGACTGTCATGCTGCTAATTCCTTGTTAAATAATTACGTGAGTATGCTAAAAAAACATACCTAATTAATTCAATACCTTACTCAAAAATGGTTACTTGATTATTTGGAAATTATTTATACTGAAATAACGCAAGTACAAGTATATGAATTTCGAAAATAGACACCCCGTAAATACATATTTTGCTCGACCCAGAACTGAACTCGGTCTTTGTTCTGGACCGTTATAGTCAAGCCTAAAATGTAGTGTAACTATTTTATGACGAATGCAACAAAGAAATAATAAAACTAACTAATAAGGGCTAAAATTAAGCAACAGTGGTCCATCATTTATGCTAAGCCACCTATCAGCTAAGGAGCAACAATATCGTCCACAACGACGACTTAAAGTTGCTCGTCTGGCTGTCGGAAAGGAAATAAGATATCCCCTCAGCTAACAGACAAGGGATCCCATGTTTGTATTACAACCCTATTTTAATTGATATGTTCAAATACAGTGCATATTTGAAAGATAAATAACAAGTAAATTAAGTGTGGGAGAGCCATGCTTCGGCACGAATGGGCCGGCTCGACCGGAGTGATACCACGGCCGAGCAGAAAACCGACGTAAAAACAACGCTTGCGTTGTGTTTCCTCGTGTTAGTGAGGTTACCGGAGGCGCAATTACCTTCTTCCCTCCATAATCTCCCCAATCCCTAAAAGGCCGGTAACGTACCTACTTGTAACGTGTCCATGGGCGGTGCCGATTGCTTACCATTAGGTGATACGTCACCTCGTTTACCGGCTTATTCCATTAAAATAAATTAATTTATTGTACCTACCTAGACAACTTGCATAATAGCTACTCGTTAACTTATCGAATACAATTGCTATTCGATTAGTGGTTGTAAATGGTACTATTGAGTGAGGGGTCACGGATTTACCAGTGGGCTATTATTATATTATAGCGTTTTCAATAAATACTCGGTAATATAGCGCAGACTCTGGAATTACGTCTCATCCATTATTACATGGGAGTAGGCAGGTATGATAAGGTTAGATAAGTAACTCACTTAATTTTATGATTAACCCTCTATGTAGCACATGGCTGTATAGAGTTGGGGGTTGTATAATAATTTAGTTTGTTTATATAATGCTAGATGGCAGTGTGTTTTGTCCTGTGTGATTATTTAATAATCTTTTTTAATTAAATCAAATAGAACTTGAATAGAAAATAATGAATTTAAAATATTTCATAAACTTAGCAATAAAATACGAACTAAATACATTGCATGCAAAAAAAAACATTCCAAAAAGAAAATCGGTCGTTCGTTCGTGGAACGGAACGAGAATTCACCCCTCTAAGGCTAATGACTCACTCGCTTCACCCTAGTATCACCCCTGACGGAAAGGGCCGAAGGTAGCCGACGACACCCGAGCGGCACGCGTACGGATCCCGCACGGAAAACATTTAAAAATCTCAACCCACATTATTATGTAATATTTTACAACATTTTTTTATTAAAACAAAATCATTTTTTATACTGTGAAAATGCCCGCGAATATGTCGAGTGTGTGTAGTTTCGGATACACGTCCCAGTGTTTTGTGGATCACAAGTTGTATCAAGACTGGCTATATTGATTTTCCAGTGACGTGCGATAGAAACGTTGTATGCGGAATACAGTGTTATTATTAGATTGTGTAGTGCTTTTAATAATTCAGTAAGTCATTTAACATACATTGCAACTTAAAACGTTAATAAAATACTTCCTAAATTGGAATAATGAAACAATTCCTGTGCCTCAATTCGCATCGCTGTGAAAAGTCTGCATAATTTTTTTCTCATTTAATATTTTATCTGTCACGCGTATTTTTTTATTTGATCAATTTATTTTTAAAATTTTGAAATTGTTTATCTTAAACATTAAAATGTCGATTAAAAGCGTTAAAAATAATCGGACGCCATATTTACCTTCTAAAAATAGTATTTCTACCCTTAAATAGACGTGGTTGATAAAAGTTCTATAATAAACCACATTTAAAAAAGTCCTTTACGTAAATACCAAAATTAAAATATTTTACTAAATATAAACGATAAAATGGTAATTTAAATTGAAAAAATCTATCTAATGATTCAATACAATGACGGTAGAGTGATTTTTTGAGATAAATTATCAAAAATCTCGTTAATATTTTATAGAAAAATTTGTTTTATTAAACTTAACATCATTTAACGCTATGTGAAATAATCGGAACTTCCAAATTTCAAATCATAAGTTTGATATCGCCAATCCGCCTTGAGCAGTAATGATTAATAGGTACTCATTCCTTCTCCGTGTGAGAAGAGGCCTTTGCCAGCAGACTAAAAATAATGATTTAGTGTGACGAAAATTCTGTTTAAAATGTGTAGTGGCAGTGACCATGATATATGCAACACGGTTGAACCTTGTAAGTCAATACATTTAAAATTAAGAAAAAGTAAGGCTCATTCACATATCTATTTAATCTCCGTTATCCATTTTAATCTCCCAGGGGTAGACAGAGTCACTCATATAATACTATGTTACACCCACTTTTCACTAGTATTGTTACGAGGTACGATCGAGTTCCATACAATAGGGGGTGAATGGGTGAGCCTACTATAGATATAGTTCTAGGCTAAGTAACAACGAATTTTCGGAAAACCGAAAATTATAGGTAGGTACCCGTCTCGGGAATCAAGCTAAGAAAATTACAACTACTAAATAACAAAGCAGTCAAATCACTTTTAAATACATAAATAAAAAGTAATTAGTTACCAGTTGGGCAGTGTTTAGTGAAGGCTCGTGTTTAATCAGATTAGACCTAGAATTACCGGTGTTACCAAACTGAAAAACTAAGGTTCAAGGTTTAGGTGTACATAATAAGTAAGTAATATATTTTAAGTGTGGGAGAGCCATGCTTCGGCACGAATGGGCCGGCTCGACCGGAGTGATAACACGGCCTCACAGAAAACCGACGTGAAGCAACGCTTGCGTTGTGTTTCGTCGTGTAAGTGAGGTAACCTTCCCCAATCTCTCCAATTCAGAATCCCTAACGATCCTCAAACTCCTAATCCCCAAAAGGCCGGTAACGCACTTGTAACGCCACTGGTGTTCCAGATATCCATGGGCGACGCCGATTGCTTACCATCAGGTGATCCGTCTACTTGTTTATTTGCTTATGACATAAAAAAATATAACTACTTGCTGTCAAACGTGATTTGTCGAATTTCATGAAAAATACATCACAGAAAAAAAAAGACTTTTCTCATAGGCCTCTCAAAATAGTATTGTGCAAATGCGACTCAGGCCTCTTTGTTGGTCAAAAGTGCGTCTGTCGAGCAAGAGGCCTCGGGTTTGGGGTCGGTCAAATTATGATTGGTTTCTTTTTATCTGCCAGGATATTCTGGAAACGGATAAGGAACTCATGCCTCATATATGTATTTTACAAAAAAACGATCGTCACTTAAATTCATATAATATAAAAACAGCTTATTCTAGATACCCCTTCTACTAAAAAAAGCGTATTGTTAAGTCATGTACTTAAACCAAGTTTTAAATTGATTGTGTTAGGTACCTCTCTAGTCTGCAAATGAGAGTTGATTGTCATTTTACGGCCTATTTTAAATTGACATTAGTAACTGATGAAATGTGGGTGCTTTGTTTTATTGGTGGAATTCATCGAATTACTGCTCCGGCCTGGGTGAGGCGGGACGGAGTGTCAGACTCTTACTGACTAAAAACCACCCCGTTCCTTCTCCTGCACGTCGAGCCGGAGCCCCGGTTACCCTATCGCTAGAAGTAAAATTACGGCCCGTTATATCTAAGATATAATTTCTAATGCACCTTTCCAGAACCTTAAAAGACTGGCAGCCATCCAATAATGCGAGAAAGGCTTTCACGTTGACCCAATTCGGCTATAACTGAATACTGAAAATATTTGTACCCACACCGCGCCGAGATAATTGCAGTCAAACCTGAAAGACTGTCACTTCAGGAACTTTCAGTTCATTGCTTAGGTACCTACTTAATTACTTAATTCGTCTCATTTGGTATTTTTGTAGTTTTCAACCTACAATTTACGAATTCATAAATGCAGCTTTGAGGCGTGTCTTGTAGTTATTGGACAGGGTAGAATAAATTTATCACTAGTTCACCACCCTTAGGTACTCTTACCGCGAGTATCCTAAGAGGAACTACCTATATGTCATCTCTAAATAAGGCTTGCTATAATCTCCACTATTAGGAAGAGTAGCAGTGGGGACAATTGTATTCTGCTATTCTACCGTGCCATCATCTGATGCAGCAGTCGTCACCTATTTGGCGCCCGAATACTCAAATGCCACTAAATCGTAAGCCCCGATTAGGTATAGTTGTCCCTACAAATTCTTTGTAAATTAACTGAAATGGCACGATATTTAAGTACAATTTAAAATTGAGTAGCCTTTCAGTATTCGGGCGTAGGACATTAATTTAGGTAACTGAAAAGTTGTACTTATTTATGTCCAAATTTAAATGAACTTGCTGCTCTAATTGAACCGCCAAACTAAACTTGCACTTCTATTCCGACTATCCCTTTACTAAACTAAACCACACAATATCCAAAACTCGATAAAGCCATAAATTCCACTATCTGTATACAATGCTCCCATTTCTCGTCCATTTTGGCAAACACCACCGAAGCTGTACCATTAGTTTGTGACTAACCAATACGTATGGACAGACAATCATTAGTAAAGTTTTATCCCTGACAAATAGGAGGATAGGCTCGAAATGTGCTTCAAAAGAACTAAAGATGAACGTTAAGATCAATTTTAAAGGACAATGCTTAACGTGGTGTCTTTTTTCTCTGAAGAGTTAGAGAGATAAGCCATATTAAAGGGTTTTTTATGGAAGCAAAATCATCGAATGACTTCTCGCCTGGGTGAGGGAGGGAGTGTCAGACTCTTACTGACTAAAAACCACATCGTTCCTACTCCTGCACTTCAGACTTCAAGCCGGAGTCCCGATAACCTTTTACGTTCTCCGGGGCTCAAAAGACACTTTTCAACAGTTCTAAATTCCATTAGCCAAAGTATAGCTGGAGCATTTTTTGGGTTCTCCGCGACTCCAAATCGGCATCAGCCCTATTGGGCCCCATCCGTGGTATTGCTGGAGTATAGGCCTCCATTTTCCATAATCTCGCAGGCGAGTAGGAGATCACAGTCTATAAGGTTCAGATTTATCAGAGATCGGTGATACTCGGTTTCTGTTAAATGTGTAGTCCTTTAGCTCTTAAGACGCCCGCGAGAGGAGCAGAGATGGTGACAAATTTTAATGTATTTTATTCTGCAATCACTACATGGCAGAAATTATGACTAACTAGCTGTTGCCCGCAACTTCGTCAGCGTAGAATATGATTCCTGTTTTATTCCATAGGAGCATTTAATCGGGATAAATAATTCTATCACTTAAATCAGCTCATACCCTGCCTGTATACCAAATTTCAACAAAATCCGTTCAGTCGTTTCAGATAAACATAAAAACAAAGAAACTTTCACATTTATAATATTTGAGTGATAATATATGCAACATAGTATACAGCGATGTATTGCATTGAAACGGACATCAAACCCGTTGAATAATCAAACAGATTTATCGATTACGTCGGGAAGTCCCTGATTCTAAGAAATGAATGGTTACTTAACTACTTATAGACTCTTTAGTCTATAAGTTGTTTCTATAAACATACTGTAAGTAAAGGTTACGTATAGTGAGAGCAGGGTAGAATACATTTTGTCACTATCCCTACTCTTAGAACCTAACGGGTTACCGGGGCTCCGTCTCGACGTGCAGGAGAAGGAACGGGGTTTTTAGTCAGTAAGAGTCTGACGCTCCCGCCTGGGTGAGGCGGGAGCAGTTATTCGACTATCTCCCCTTAAAAAAACCCTACTCTTCCCGCGGGTGTCGGTCGTAATATGTAACAAACAGACGAGCATTTAATAGAGACACGGGTCTCTCATACTGTGGATTCAAAGCTCAAACTCGCTTGCCAAATATGGAGATACAATACAGATATTTTATAAAAATATCTTGTGTCTAGATAGTCCCAAGTTGGGCGCCAATTTACTTGTATCTAATTTACTTTTTTAAACTAATATTCCATACAAAGTAATGGTCGTTGAGGCACAGAAATTGTTATATATAATCATTTATGATTTAAAATTCATGTTAAAACAAGTATTATTAACTTTCAGGAAGAACAACACTGACTTTACTGAATTACAACACAGATAACAAATTAAAAAAAAACACTAAATCGGTATGCAAGTCAATCGGAAGACTCAACTGTGTTGAAAAAAATAAAATGACTATAAATTTACTACAACGCCATCTCTCGGCGAAATGACTGAACAATGCTGGTGAAATGTGATTATTTTTTATGTTCGTGATTGGACCCGGCGTCAAGCGTGAAAGATGGAAGGCGGAGGTTCTACGGGGACCTCAGAGGTCTACCAGTATGTTGGACCTTTCAGACTGGAGAAGACCTTGGGAAAGGGACAGACAGGTAAATAAGATGTCTAATTTTTTATATTTATTTTTGGAATTTAGATAAAATTAATGTCACTTTACAAACCGGAGCTAACTCCTGGCCAATAGACAATATAATAAAAAAGGAAAACGACGTTGGAGAAGGATTTGCCTTCATCAGTTTTCTATTGGTAGTCAAAGGATTATATAGATTATAAGATTACTCTTTTCTTCAGTTGGCCTCTCCTCTATCTCCCACACTAGTGTAGATATGAGTGAAAGACACAAAGAGTTCATTAGGAACATAAAGTCTTAGGAAGTTTTTGTCAATAAAACATCATTTAAATGAGAAACTAAGTATTTAATTTTATATTATTTGGTGACATCTCGATACCGTTGGACGCGTTTCTTACTCTCAGACTCTTCAACTAAAGCTTGAAGCAAGGAACTAGTTAGGAATGGATCTGAAATAGAAGATTACAATAAATATAAATATACGGTTGCCGGTATATCAACCTATCCTTTACTGTCTGTCGCGGAGAATCTAACGGGTAACCGGGGCTCCGGCTCGACGTGCAGGAGAAGGAACGGAGTGGTTTTTAGTCAGTAAGAGTCTGACACTCCCTCCCACCTCACTGAGGCGGGAGCAGTCATTCGATGATTTTCCCCCCTTAAAGAAAAAAAATCCTTTACTGTCTGTCTATTACATATTTTATTGTAATAGACATGAAGTCGAAAACCCAATTAATTTTGACAGAGTCGAGTAGGTTGTTTTGATGGCCACTGACCATAACACAGAATACTACCTAACTTAATTTTCACTTGATATATCGTACGAAAAATCCACAACATTTATTCATACAAAAGTAGTCTCTAAATATTAGAGATATGGTGTAAGTGGAGAGCGGTCGCCAGTGACAGCTTGGGGATAAATCAGTCATTAGAACGTAACCTCTGGTTCACACCATACTTATCCGATAAAAAAATCACTATTAAAATATTCTCAAAAAAATCGGGACTAGTAATCGAGCACCGTCGTCGCTTAGCAATTCTACTACTTTTTTTATATTAGATGGGACTGATATGGCCTACGATGGAGCATGTCGACCCATGAGCAACCAATTCACTCAGGCCTTGAACACAGCCAGGTCATACCCTTCAGGAAATACAGACTCTGGCAAAGAATTCCACTCTTTAGCAGTACGCACAAGGAATCTTGATGCGAAGCGCTTCGTGCGTGTGGGTAGGACATCTACCATGAATCGGTGCCGCTTCGCCGATTGTCTTGTGGTACGATGATGGAAAGGATTAGGTGGAATCAAGTTGTGCAATTCCCCCGCACACTCACCGAAATATACATATGTATGTACAATTAGTTAATTACCGTTGCAGTTGTGAAGTTTCAGTACTTTCAATTTAATATTAATGCTTTATAGTTCGACTGCCTCATTGACCGAGTGGTCGCGAGTGCGACTGCCGGGCAAGGGGTCTCGGATTCGATTCCCGGGCCGGGTAAAGTACTACTGTATTTAAAAAAAAATCTCAGTAGTAGCACGGAGTCTGGAAATGTGCCCGGTATATCGCAATAGGCTCACCCTCTATTACATGGGACTTATAACATAAATAGTGAAAAGTGGGTGCTACATTGTGCATTGGCATTAAGTACCGTTATGTGCATCCTCTGCGTACCCCTTTGGGGATAAAAGGCGTGATGTTATGTTAATTGCAATTAATTAGTTAATTAGCGTTGCAGTTGTGAAGTTTCAGTACTTTCAGTATAATATTAATGCTATTTAGTTCGCTAGTTATAATTATTGAAGCCTGATTGGTTGGCTGAACATGGGCAATGTTCCAAGCTTCCAACCACTGAGTAATAAATATAGTTTAATTTAATTTCGTCGTTAATATTATTATGGTTTCTTAAAATTACTGGGTTGGTGGCCGAGTGGTTGTAAGTGCGACTGTTGAGCTAGAGGTTTTGGGTTCGTTTCACAAGTACCTAAAGTGAGATTGGGGCTTATATTTTCGGCTTCTCAGTGGTTGGTGGTCTGACTATTTGTTACATTGTGTTGTCTGTTGTGAGACGTTATATTTTACAGCGCATTGCAGAACTGATACAGCAAACGCTAAAAGCTAAGAAAATAGCGTATTTTTAGCGTTATACGTTATTTTAACCACCATTATTGCTTAGATATATAGCCTATTCGGTAGATAGGTATATTATGAGACCCCTCATAACCTAGCTAGCTGGTGAAAACATTGGAAAATTCATTTGAAACTTCAAAAAAAATTAATAGGTTAACTAAAAATTATGACTGAGTTACTCACGTAATTATAGATGTTGACATTTCAACAAAAAACAACTGAAAAAGTCGATCTAAATCACGCTACGAAACATGTGAAAGCCGAATAAAACCATTACATAACTGTAACTGGCAGTAACGAACGAATTTATAACAACCACACAAACAAAAAAGCTTTCCATTTGTACAACGAACGAACAGAATTCCATTTTTGAACCGAATTTCAAACCAACAAACGTTGCTATTGGTGACCTGGTTTTCAAAATGGCGGCCTATCGACAGCTGACAAGACCCTCAACAATGTTATTTCCTAAAGGCCAGTCAATTCTGGTTACTGAATGGGCTTTCAATTCTATTCACAACGCTTTACCGTTGAAAATATCATGTATTTCATAGATATTTCTACATTTTTACGTTGAGGTTTTGTATTGAAATTGAAAAGACATCTAGCCAAACATTTGTAGATACTTGGTTAGGTATTCAATATATAGGTGTTTTTTGCTTAAACTATTCAAGACTCCTTCGTGCTAGAAGTAGTTTAAGCCTTGGATCCCGACTGTATTAATATACCGTCATCTTAACAGACTATGAAAGAACAGAAAGTGCATTCTATAAAGTACATCCTCATTAGAAGTCAAAATTGCTGGGTGCAGATGGTGCTAGACTATTCTGAAACTGTCAATTCGAACTTTCATTGTGATCTCGATCACATTCTCGTTTTCTCCCGCGCCCTCCGCGGTTGCGGACTCGCATCATTTGTAGCATGCAGATATGTATGTGAAAATTCAAAATAATTTTCACGGCGCGTTTTACGCCCGCGGCGGTTGCGATTGTTTGCGGCTCCCGCTGCTCCGGCGGGCGCGGCGTTGGTCCCGCAGCCGCGGCGGCTAGCACCCGCGCGCTTTGCGAATGGTTGGCTGGTGACCGCAATGGGACGGCCGGCCGGTCTGGAACTCAACTGAATGTTTAACCGCCCGCCCGTTTTGCGATGATCAACCGTTCAGCCTCCATTCCGCCATCGCGGTACGCCATGGTCCGCGATTGAGTTCACTTCTTTAGAACTAAAAGCTACGGAATTTTTTTAAGGGGAGAAATTCATCGAATCACTTCTCCCGTTACCCTACTCGCCGTCCGCAGGCCCGTGCTTACAGTGGCCGGAGATCTTCTCGCGATCGCCGACGCCCGGAGTGTCCTTCGCGATGGCTAGGCTGTGAGGAGGCAGCGCTTTGCTGTCTCACGCGCCCTGCCTCCTCCTTAGCTCGAATGACTCCTTCGCAAAAGGTGAAGATAGCATCCCAGGCCTCTTCACCCCGCATCATGGCCCGGACTAGGGCCGGACGCGAGAGGTCGCCGTCGAAAATTACGGGATAGCAGTTTGCTTCCAATCAGCCGATCTTGAAGTCAACGGGGCAAGCCTGTGTTCAACAGACTGATATGATTATGATAAACTATACCTACTACATACGTCTCACATGCTTTTAATACGGAAATCCCCTCTCAACGTTAGCTGCTGCTGTAACCGGGGCAGGGGTTAGCGGAAGTTTTGCCTTCAACAGTTTTCTGTCGGCAGTCAAAGGCTCAATGATACTCACTGATCGGATCAGGGATAGAATTCCCAGTATTCTGATTCTCCTGTATCGGCCTGAGTGAGACGCTGGGCGGCACAGACTGTATGGCAGCTGAGTGATACTTCATAGCTGAAGAACCGCTGATTATGTTTAGAACTGCTAGAACTAGGATCCTGGAAAGAGTTCACATTTTAGAGTGCAATCGATGGTTGGCAGTTCAAAATTGCACGTTTTTCGCGAAGCATTATCTTACACAACAGAACTGTCACCTGCGGTATTTCTCAACCATAAGATACACGACCTTCAATCCCCCAAGAAGACAGCGTAGCTACCGACTTCCTTTTTAAAAAGTGGGCAATACAGGCAATGCTTATGGGCAAATGTAACTGCTCTGGGATTACGTTTGTCCAATGGTTCATGGGCGGCACTGAACGCTTACCACCGGGTGATCTGTCTGATGGGTTACCCGCTGTACTAATAGTCAGTCAAATTCCTTGATCGAGCGATATATTTTAAGTTACATATTATTTTCTATTTACCTTCGCTTTCTATTATATTTTATTTTTTATAGTCGTTAAGTTTATGTGTGTTCTGCGCACAAAATTAATGGTTTTTATTTCTTTCTTCATATAGGCCAATACAAGACTATCTGTAACTATTAAGCTAAAGCTAATATAAACTAGGTACCTAACTACTTGAGTGTACTACGTTATGTGCGTAAGTAACTTACCCGTGTATTAATGTCATTATTTAGAACTACACTTGTTTCCCTTTCCGACTCCGGTGGCTGAATGGTGTTGAATATAGTGCCTTCTTCGATATCAAACGCTTGTTGGACATGCTGCAGAGTAGTTAATACCGTATAATTACACGCTTTTGTCGAGTGATTGTAAAATGCAAGCGCTATCTCGTACTCTGGCATCGAAGTCTAGTTCTCGGCCTCACCGAAAACCGGAATAAAGCAACGCTTGCGGTATATTTGTTTACCAGTGCCTACCTTACCTAAGATAATCGGCGGAGGCTCAATCTACGAAAGGCCGGCCTACGTATGGCAGGTTCAATTCCTGCACGAAACAACATGTGTGCTCTACAAAATTGTTGTTTCTGCTAGGTATGATGTGTTAGTATTTCACAGTCGAGTTAGAAATTAATATAAACTTAACTAGTGAAATGTATATAGTAGGTACAATGTATACTTTTGCGTAGCCCTTAGGGAATTAAGATACAACATAACATAACA